TTTTTCGCAGAGTTCTTTCTTTTGAGCTAATGTTAAAGATTTCTTCTTTTTATTATTCGTATCTTTGTTTTCTCTCATGCTAAAGTATATTTTGAAAAAAAAACAGTGAGAAAAATTGTTTGCCTAATTAATAAATGATTGACATAATTATTTCGGACTCTGAAAAAATTAATACGTCATATCAAGATTTTTTAACTATAGTTGATCTAGAATAAAATCCGATTTACGAAATATTGAGATTTTACTAATAAAGTCCGATATATCAAGACTGTTTTAATATAGATGATTTGGTTCCAGAAGAAAAATCCGAAATAGTGCCAAATCCGGTTTATCGAGGATCTGATTTATCGAGATTGCCTGTGTATCATAATAAATATTTTCAAACAATAAAAATAATTATTTTATGTCAGAGTTTGTATTACCATCTTTAAACGTAAATATATCAAGATTCACTAATCCGTTTTCTATAATTTTAGGCTCGTTGGAAAGCTCTTGTTCTGGACTTTATAGGCGAAAAAAGAGCTCGCCGATTGAATCATTAGATCCGGAGATATTTACATTTAAAGTTGAGGTACGAACTTTTTAACATGCTTAAATGCAAATATCTTGGGATCCACTAATCCATTTTTTATAAATTTAGGCTCTTTGGAAAGCCTTTGATCTGGTCTATATGAACGAAAAAAGAGCTTGCCAATTGGATCACTGGATCTGAAGATATTTACGTTTTAAGTTAAGATATAAATTTTTAACATATATAGTAAGTGCTAAGAATTATATTAATTTAAAAGAAATATTTACCAAATTATAGTATAATAACATTAAATAAAAATTTTTTAATACTCATTTCCAATTTACTGTATATTATATAGTATTTTGTATAATAAAAATGTAATAAAATCAATATTTTAATTAAAGGTAGACAAATCAGCCCATATGTTATATAATTTTGCTTAATTTTCAAAAAAAAATGTAAATTATAGTTAAAGGGACGGATATTGCTAAAAATATAAGAAAACTTGGTTATTATGCTTCATAATGCTTAAATTTATATAAAGTAAAATAAATAATAATATATAAATAATTTATTTTTTGAAAAATTTCAAAAAAAATGATTGGCAAAAAATTACATAAACTATAAAATATAAATTTTTAGAAAAGTGTTTTAATTCAAGTTATTTAACTTAGAGGTAACTAAAATTAGCAAAACTTTTATTTTAAATATTTAAAAAAATTAAAATTACAATAATACTTTTTTCATTTTTTAAATATATATTCTTTTTAAGTAACCAATTTTAAAATATATGTATTTAAGGAGGTATTAAAGTATTATAAAAGTTATTAAATAATTAAAATTTAGAGAAATAATGAAATTTAAATTTTAGGATTTTTGATTTTCCTTTTTATATCATTATTTATTTTAAAAAATGCAAAATTAAAACATAATTCTGGCCAGAATTATACTAACTACAAGTGTCTAAAAATGGAAAATATGTAACATTGTTATGGTTTTAACCCTTCTTCTTTCCTTAAGAAATGATGTCATTTCTGTTTATCTTTTTACTGTAAAAATTTAAATTGTTTTTATTAATTAATTTTGCTTTAAATTTTAACTTTTTAAATATTAAATTTTTTTTAAAAAAAAAATTTATTTGAAATTATTAATATTAATTGTAGAAAAATATTTTACTATTATTTAGTGATTTATTATAATAAAATAAATCAAATAATTGTAAATTTATAATTTATAAAATATTTTTATTATTTTATTTTGTAAATTTAAATAAAATTTTTTTATTTATTTAAATATAAAAAAAGCAATTTATTTGTTTATAAAAGAGTGTATATTTGATTAAAGTAATAAATTATACTTTAAAAGTTATATAATATATAAATTTATAATATATATTAAAAAAAAGGTTTAATTTAAAAGTTTATTATATAAAAAAATTTTTATAAATATAATATAAAATCAAGGTAAAATTTTTTACTTCATATTAATATTATAATAATTATATTCCAATATACAATATTTAATCAATTAATATACTTTGCATATATTTTTATAAGTTTTTAAAATTTTTTTTTTTAGGTTATAATTTTTATGAAATTGTATAATATAATTTTAAATACTAGTGGATATTATCATTTTTTTTTAAAATTAAAATTTTTTCAATTTATTGTAATAAAGATATTATTTTTTATAATAATATTAGTTGATTAATAAATATTATATAATAATAATTAAATATTTTTCCGGTATAATAATTAAATATTAATATAACTATATAAGTATTATATATTTATCGGTATCCGATCAAAATCTCACAGTCACTTGCACGACTAACATAAGATCGACAACAAATTTTTTTAACAATCCAAATCTCGACAATCCAAAATCCCGAGATGTGTGTTCTAACAAAATAATTTGTTGCAATATGTAATATTTAGTTTAAATGTGGTAAATTTTATAAAATTGTCAGGATGTCGGTATAATGATTTGTCGGGATTTTGTAGTAAAACTAGCAAAAAAAGGATATTATTATTTTTAGAAAAATATATTTATTTTTATTAAAACTGAAATTATTATTATTGGTTAAAAAACTAATGCAAGTTAAAAACGGATAAAATTTATATTTTTCTTATTATATTGCAGTTTGAAAAATATGATAATAAAATATATTAATATAAATACATAATTGTTCACGATATTGGATCTAAATTTGTGAATAATTATTTAATTAAATTATTATTATAAGCATAATTATTGCAACATATTGTATACGATATACCCAACCATATTGCTGGACTTACATTTGTACCGCATAATTTGTAATTTAATTACTGTAGATCTTCATCGCCATGTCTTATCCATGTTAACATCTCTTAACAATCACTGATCTGTAAGTGGCAGAAAATCTTTCTATTTCATACATTAATTTAATTGGCTTATATAATCCTATTAATTGACGCTAGGAGACGAAACGATTGTCTATATATAATGTAATAATAAAATTTTTGCATAAACGTTAATTTTGATAAATGCAAAATTATTTGTTAGAATTATGACACTAGTAAATCATCATAAGAAATGCCAATTTGTTATTTGATTATAATAATAATTACATACATATCAATTACATAATTAAGATTAGCTGTCAATCAGCGAAACTATCAAGATGATCTGGTGATCCCCATGTTAAATTCGATTACCTAAACGGTTCAACGCGAAGCTTAATATGAATTTAAGCTTAAAACAAGCTAAACTATTGTGTGAGCTTAATGTATTAGTTAAACACTAAATTAGGATTAATTATAAAGAATGAATGAACCAATTTGGTAGATTAAAAAAGATTTAAATTAAACATTCTTAAAACTAATAAATTACTTTTTGAAACATAATTGAAGCTCAGCTCATGCCAAAAAAAAGTCTAAAAACAACCCGATGAATAAATCTCAGTTTAAGGATACAATTCAACATCCCTAATTTTTAATGTATTTTGAAGAAAAACTAGATGGATTAATCACATGTTTTCATTTTAATTCAATTAAGCTGAAACAACAATAATCTTTTTGCATGTGAGAATATGAGCGTAATAAAAGAAAATCATTCGACTAAAGTGGTTGGTCGGATCTTTGCTGGGTCAGATCTTGGTCGATCCCCTGTCAATAAAGAGAATATCATTTTATTTAGTAAATTTCTGATTCCGCAGTAAATTCTATTTATAGTTAATATATAAAATTGATTGTACGGTATTATTGTATGCCGTGTATCATCTTTCGGGCAGACGGAAAGAGGATTATTACAACTATTTTGCATTACCATTATTTCCGAATTTTGATCATTTGTGCAGGAGAAAAATTTTCGTTATTTGTTGTAAATAAAATTTTATTTATTCCGTGGATCTTTTTTATTATGTTCTTTTATGGTAAGCAACATATCATTACATAATAATTCAAAGATTATTACGGCGCAGAAATGTATCACGTGTAGTAAAATATTGATCTCCAAAATGGATGGAACCCATTATAAGCCCGAAATAGTAATTTTTGTATGCAAAAAAAGCAAAGAAAATCTTAATTTCTCAAATATTTGTTGGTGAAACTTTTTGACAAAAAGATTAATTTTAATTCGTAATTTAAAATGATTAATTGTAATGGATAATTCTTTAGATTCCATGTGATATGAATTTTTACACGTGGATTTCGTGGATTTCGTGTGTTTTCGTCTGTTTTCATGTATTTTTGTATATTTGTATCCAATAATATTTACTCAAGTATTACTATGAATGCTAAAAAATCTCCTAAATCTTTGCCACATTAAACTAACTTATCATACAAGAAATAGTTTCTTTCTTTAAGGATATTTCTAGACTATATTTACTTTTTATGATAATTTTAATGGTAACGGCCGAATTCTTCACTATAAAATATTTATTACAATGCCAAAATTGGACATCATTTAAGTGTAACACAAAAAAATAAATCCTCAGCCTATTAAAATTCTCCTTTGAGAAAGGTGCCGCTTGTCCTCTAGACCTAGAACAGTAAGTAATTCATTCTTCTTGTTTGGTAACGTTTCCGATCAAATATGAAAAAAAAAAATTTCTGGAGCCGTGATTCGTGACACCACATTAACAATACATATAAGCATGGAACCATAATTCAACTTTATTTGTAATTTTAGAAAAGGCTATTTTCATGTTCTTTCATATTTCAACAAAATTCTCTCCTTACGAAAAGTTTAATTAACCCTCTTTTATAGGTACTAATAACAAAAATTACTTAACTCATTTTAAACTTCAAACTTTTCCTATTTCTTAATTAGTTCTCCACCCTCCCTCTTTTTTTTATTTTATCGTTTTCTAAAACTTTTTCACTAACGTTTACAGTAAACGAAAAAATAAAATCGCTTGTAAAAAAATTTCTCCCTCCCATTTTAATTAATAAGTTAAATAAATTTAAAGGAAAATACTTTGTCAAATATTGTCCCTCAAAAATTCTTCATTTAAAAGAAGTGTATATAACCACTAAAAAAATCCCCTCTGTTGAAATATGATAACAAAAGATTCATCTAAACTTAAAAAATTAGTTGAATTTGCCGAAAAAGGTTTTTATATTAAATTAATTTTGCATTTTTTTATCATTTCTTAAAAATAAAAAAAATAAATAAATGCTCTTGATTATAGGCGGTATTGGAACATGTGTAGCTAGTCAAGATATAAGTGCAAAGTCTGAAGCAGATTTAATGTTTTATACTGGTAAAATCTCATTAATTATGTTTAAAAAAGCTACTTTTTAAAAAATCTTTAATCATATCTAATTATTAATAATATATCTTGACATTTTTATAGGAGAAGTTATAACTGTCTTGAAACATATTAAAGATGATATATATCTTGTAAGTTTCTTAAATATTCATATTTTCATTAAAGAAACAATTTTTTTTTTGATTTATATGTACCATTTTAATTAGGGATATTGTGAAGGGGTTATAGGGACATTTAAAGGTAAAACGGTTAAATTTAACGGATCTTTAAAAAATCCTAAATCAATGAAATCAGAAAAAAATATATCACCACCAAGTCAAAGTTCATCATCTGAAAATAATTATGATCAAAGCTCCCCCAAAAAGTCAAATTCTATTCAATCTTCAGATTCTGTAGATAAAAATTTAGGATTTTTAGGTATGTTTAATATTTAATTATAATTCAAGAAAATAAATAAATCTTTTTCTAAATGAAATTTTAATTAATTTAAATTTTTTAATTAAAAAAAAAAAAAAAAATTTAGATATAGAAAATAAATCACAATCACAGCCTATAATTAATATAATACCAGATCCTAGTGAAGATGTTAAAATAATTATTCCATCACGACGGTCATCATCTATAGCATCCGGACGTTCTACACCAGTGTCACCTCGTAAACTAAATACAATGCCACAGTTACAATCCAATCCAGAACCTATCATACCACAACGTCGAAATAATACTGTTCCAATAATATCTATAAGCCATGAAGAAGTAAATTCAAATCAACAGAATGATCAAATCATAAATGCTAATCCCAAAAATTTACCTCCCCAACAATCTCCGGTAAATAGTCAAAATCAAATTAAATATAGTGATCCATCATTTTCAAGGAATAATGATCAAATAGTTACTAGAGAACGTCAAAATTCTACTTCAGCAGTACCAGACAATAGACAAAATAACTTGCAAAATTCTCCAATAGGAAGACCTCGAGGTCGTAGTATGGTTAATGAACCAAAAGGTCGCCAAATTCCAGGAATATCAAATGCTTCAGTTCCTCGTCGTATAGAAACATCAAATCTACAGCGAAATGAACACCGTCGTTCAAGAAGCATTCCAAACATTAATCGTTCTTATGATTCACCATCAAGTTCCCCTATATCATCACCAAAATCTTTATATAATAAAAGACATTCTCAGACATTTGATTCACCAACTTCAATTACACCAAATCCTTTTCAATACAAGCCACGCGATCAAGCATTTAATGAAACTTTTACGGTTAATGGTAAAAGTATTCCATTAAGTTTACAACCTCGTTCATCTCCTGGTATGAAACAATCTTATAATGGTTATCCTAATAAAGTTAATGGTCAAAATTCACAAAAATATTCGATGGGAATCAATAAAGGCATTAATCAAAAATCTGTAATTGGTCATTATTCACCTTCAACTACACCTTTACCTTCACCAAAAATGCCACAAATAAAAGTTCTTCAAGAAGAAAATGTTGTTTTAAATAATCAGGATTCACCATCAACTACACCTTTACCTTCACCACGTTTCGCTCCTAGGAACATTCCTAATAATAATTTGAATTATGAAGGTCGTGTAACTGCTGCAAATACTCCAGCTCCGACACCTGTTATAATAACCCCTAAAATTACAATTGAAGATAGCGATTTGGATGATAGTGATCTTGACCAAGAAGAATCCTTAATTTCGTATAGATCATTTCGTAATAATTCAGCAAAATCATCATCATCATCATCATCATCATCTGATCCATCAAAACCTGCAGAAGCTCCTACTCTTAGAGTTGATTATTTTAGATCTGATACACCCGATACACCTTCGGAACAGCTGAGCGCAAATGAAAGCGAAGACATTAGTTCTGAAGATGAATATGAAAATAAAATTGAAGTAAAGGATGATTGTGAATCTGAAGCATCACAGCCTAGTAGATCTGCTAACAAGAAAAAGGATCAAATTCTTGCGATTGATGAATATGGGTTCGTTTATGACATTGCCGAAGAGGATATTCCTCCAGGAGCTGATAGAATTCAAAGAATGTTTGTATCTCAACATAAATATGTAAATTTATTTTTTGAGTCGGAAATTTTTTATTAATATTTATTTATTTTAGTATTCAAGCGCCGGGCGCAGAAGAGAAAACTACGCGTACAATCCGGTTATATCGTGAACGTGAAGCGAAATGGGTCGCTCTCCTTGGAAGCATGGATCCTGTTTTGTCCAGAGACTCTAGAAAGGTACAACCTAATTTTTTTTAAAAATTCCTATATCATTTTTTTTTCTTATTGTGAAATATTTTTCATTTTAAAGATCAAGAAACTGGTTCGTAGTGGAATTCCAGAATCAGTTCGTGGTAAAGCGTGGCAATTTATGGCTTGTGCGGACAGATACAGGAAACCTGGAGTTTTTGATGTAATTAATCACTTCTTAATTTCATTCTTTTAGTTATTGAAACGTTATTAAATTTACTTTATTAATTAAAGGATTTACGAAATAGAGAAAGACTTCCTATTTATGATGATATTGAAAGAGACATTAATCGGTGCTATCCAGATCATATTCATTTTCTTGGAGAGTCTAGTTTTGGGTATGTTAAAACAATTTTCTCCCTTCCTTGCCTTTCACTCTCTCTCTCTCTTACAAATTTATATTATCTAGGCAAGATGATCTTCATAATGTCTTAAAAGCTTATGCTCATTACAATCAAGCAGTAGGATATTGCCAAGGAATGGGACGTTTAGTTGGTATGATGTTGATGCAGATGCCAGCTGAAGATTCTTTTTGGTTGCTTGTTGCAACTATTGAAGAATATATGGTCGGATATTTCACTCCAACCTTATCTCAAGTTAAAATTGATTCGATAGTTTTTGAAAAATTGTTATTTGAGCATGATTCCAGGTTGGCACAACATTTGGTAATTATATCAAATTTGAATTTTTTTTTTTTTAAAAAAAAAAATGGTTTTCGGGAAAAAGGAATAATAATGAATATTTATTTATCAATAATTTAGGCCTCTAATGGTGTTGTTCCAATTATGTATATGACTCAATGGTTTATGACAATTTTTACTATGGCTTTACCATGGGCTTCAGTTTTACGAGTTTGGGATATATTTTATTTTGAAGGTTTGATATCATAATCATAATATTTTATGTACTTAAAAAGGCTAGGTTATTTACCTTATTTCTGCTTTTAGGGGTAAAATTATTTTTTAGGATTGGATTAGCTATTTTGGATTGTACAAAAGAACATTTACTTAAAAATTGTCCAACAAATGCGGAGTTACTTGGATTTTTATTACATATACCACATGAATTATTAACGCCAGATTTATTATTAGAAACAGCATTCAAAATTCGATTAAAGCGTAGTGCAATTAGAAGATTAACTAAAAGAGCTAACGCAATGGAAAAGAATAATGAAGGGTCAGATGCTTCCGCTACTGCTGCAGGTAGTATTAGAGAGACAAGAAGGGGATTAATGAAGAAATCTAAAAGTGTTGATAAGTTAAAGATTGATGGAATTGAATTTAAATTAGTTGGAGAATAAAGTTTTATTATATTTGTAACATTTTATCAAAAATCATTTTTAACCATTTTTTTTTATTTTCGAATATCTCATCCCTTCCTTATATTTTATATATTATTAACAATAACCCAATGTATAGCTTATCCATAGTTTAAAATAGAAAGGATGACGATATTTGAAGATTAGGAAATAGATCGAAAGAGAATGATTGGTTAGAAAAAAATTTTTTTGTGTTTAATATATTATATAATCATGTTGTGATGTACATAAAAAATTTTTTTGGGGCAATTCGGGGAGGGGACATATTATTATATTATGAATAAATATTTTTTATTTAATTTATTTATCACTTATTTTGGTACTAAAAGAATATATGAACACGGGAAATTTTTTTTTTTAATTGGCATAATTTCACTTCCTATTGAATAAATAAATTAATTTTTGATTGGAAACCATTAAAACTATTAAATGAATTATATAAATAAGAAGAACAATAAATTTAAAACGGAACTAAAATATTCCGCCACAAATATCATAAAATAGATGAATGGATTATGGATTAATAGATGAAACTTTATCCATCCCATCCATTCCAGGAGAAATAATCCCGAAGTCAAAACTAAAAAAATGGTAAATAACGTGTTTTTAATACAGTTTTTTGAAAGAAACGTAAAAGAAATGAAATCGAAAAGGATTGATATATAAAATTTCGTGTTTTAATTATTATTGATCACGATAATTCGATTAAATTTTTCATCCGGAACGATGACACCTTTGAATTCGTCGCGTTATAAATTTTCAATAAATTTCAATATTATTCATAAATTATTCGTGTTTTAAAAAATCTATTCATCAATTTTTGTATAAATTAAGTATTTACAGATGTAACCATGATTTTTTTTTAAACTCTTTCCTGATTTCAAACTTTTAAGTAAATAATGAGTGGATTAAATGATTGTAATATAATTCTTGGTAAGATTATTTTAAAAAAATATATAATAATAATAATAACACTTATGACGTTTTTTTTTTTTCACTTTAAATATTATAATTTGAGTTAGTTGAAAATATACCTTATGATACGAGCGAAACAAAGTTGAAAGAAATTTTTCAACAAGTGGGTCCTATAGTATCTTTTCGGTTTGTTGAAAATTTTTTATTATTATAAAATATACAGTATAAACAAATTTTATTTTTTTTTACGATATATATAAACAATTTTTTTACGAAATTCTACAGAAATTTTTTTTTTTTTTTTTTTTTAAAAAAAAAAAATTTTATTTCTTTCTTTTATATTTATTTATATATGATATTATTAATTATTATTAAGTGATTAACTTTGATGATTTGATCTCGATTTTTTTATTAAGTCTTGTTTTTGATAAAGAAAATAAAAGATCTACAGGATATTGTTACTGCGAATATCACGGTAATTTATCTTTAACCATGCGAATTAATATAATCAGATATTGATAAATTATTATTTCTATTTTTATTTTAAAAAAAAAACCGATCAATTAAAAAAAAAAAAAAAGATCCTGCTACTTCTGCAAGTGCTATAAGAAATTTAAATAATGTAGAAATGGAAGGACAAAAATTAAAAGTTGGATACGCTGATAATAAATCATCAACAATAACAAATGAAGTTTATAGATTAAATCCTTCTTTTAAATCGTCAGCCCAACAACTTTCTCAACAACAACAGAAATTATTACAACAATCATCCAATTCTGATTCTGATAAATCTGAATGTTCATCATCATCATCAAGATCATCCGGAATGAATGAAGAGCAACTTCTTGATGTTTTATTAACTTTACAAGTAAATTTATTATTATTATTATAATCATCATCATCATCATCATTATTATTATTAATTAGTTAATTAATTAATTAATTAATTAATTAATTATAATTTCCTCTTTTTCTAACCTCTCCATCGGCGGTGGAATTTAAAAAAAAAAAATCTTTATTCCCCCAGTTGTATTCTCAATCTACTAATGAAAATCAAGCTGGAGAATTATTATTACAAAATCCTCTATTAGCATATGATTTATTTAGAATTTTGTTTCAACTTGATCTAGTTGATGAGAACATTTTAAAGGTTAATTAAAAATTGATTTGTTATCATTATTATAAACATACATGAATATCATAAATATATAATTTTTTATCTCTTATTTGCGTTAATAGAAAATAGTATCTGAAAAACAACCAGAACGAACTTCTAATACAACAACAGTTCCCATAAACATGAATTGTCAAGACCTTACTCCAGAAATTTATAAACAACATCAAATACAACAATATCAATTATCTCAACAACAACAACAAATTCTGCAGCAGCAATATCAACAATTTTCACAACAATCACAGCAATATCAACAACAAGTTCAATTACAACATCAAAATATGTTCACACCATCACCAAATGTTATTGCTCAGCCTATTCAACAGCCCATACAACCAATTCAACCTTTGCCAGTCGGAACGAACTTGAATAACCCTTTTGTGGGTAAGATATTTTTTATTTATATATATACACTTAACAAATAATATCACAATATAAAGAATTTTCATATTTCAATTAGGTGAATTGCAAATTCAAGAACAAAATGCTGTAAGTATTTTAAACAACTTAATAAATTAAGTATTATAAATAAACATGTATCGCTTAAATTGTTATTTCTTTAGGCACTTATTTTACAACTTCTTAATCTCACACCTCAACAAATTGATATGTTTCCTCCTGATCAACGCAATCGTATTTTAACTTTGGTAAGTTAAATAAAAAAAGTAAATATATATTTTTTTTTAAAGAAAAATATTTAACCAAAATTTAATAATAAAAATAATAGCAACAGCAAATTTTTCTTCACGCTAGAAGAATTTAACTGTATTTGTCCTATACATCTATAAATGCAAAAAATCGTGATCTGCGTTAATAGAAGTTGTTATTCTATTCAAATAAAAAAAATTCAGCTAAGAATTTACATTAATAATTTCATAATAAATAATTTTAATTTACCTTTTCTACGGATTAATAATTTTTGATCATGCCTTTTGGTTTAAATAATTATCAGACAATAATTCTCTTCGAATCAATAAAATATATAATTCAAAATAACTATTTTTTTAAATTATTCTCTCTTGTACTGTATATGATTTTCCATGAAAACTTACAATCATTTATTTCAAATTCTTTCAAATTCTCCTTCATTTTCTCTAATTAATTTTTCATAGGATTTATTACATTGCCAATTACCTTTGTTAAATAAAATTAATTTTAGATTTGATCCAAAATATGGAACCAATTATGTTCGATTGCAAACTTCTCTTCGATTACTTTACTAAAATGAGATTTTCTAGATAGTTTCAAAAGAGAATATAAAACTCTCTTTTGGACAAATTGCCATGTATCCAGATGTTCAATGCAATGAATTAGATCCTTCAAGAATTTCGTTACGAGCAACTGTGATATTAGTCATCACAATTTTTATAAAAAGTTTGCTTCAAATCCATTTCTTTAAATTGATGGGATTACTTTCATATTGTTTCTCCGTTAATCCTATTTAGTAATTAGAAAGATGGAATCAATGCGTGATGTCTATTCTTATATTTGAATGAAAATAATCAAAGGAATTTTAAAAAATTGATGATTTCAATACAAAACTGGTTGATTTAAAAGCAATAAACTTGGTGGAATAATTTGTTTAATAATTGTTGAGGTGTTAGATACTGCAGGTCATGTGATTTAACATATAAATGAGTCAAAGTCAAAGTCATCCGAGTCATCAAACATCAGCAGTAGTTTTCGCTTATTGTGAATATAATATAAACAATAATTGTTCTATTATATGGCTACACCCTTTGTGTGTTAAACAGTTTCTATTGAAATTTACTAAAGATAATGGCTCAGTTAGGTTCTTTATAGCGTCAGAAATATAATCATCCAGTTTAGATATGATGTACAACATTTATATACGGTTTTGATTAAATAATTATTCCTATGATTAGTTTATTATTTGACACGAAAGAATTAGGTGATAAAAAAGACTAGAATACAATAGAGAATCAGAAGAGAAAGAAAGTCTAGAAGACAATAGAAAGTCAGAAGAGAAAGAAAGTCTAGAAGATAATAAAGAATCAGGGGAGAAAGAAAATCTAGAAGATAAATAGAGAATCAGAAGTGAAAAAAAAATCTAGAAGATCCAAGCAGGATAAATTTGGAAAATTCGATCTCCATCTAGGTAAATATTTATGCGTTTTTTTTAATTCATTGTCTTTTTGTTCAATATTTTTAACTATTCATTTTTCTTTAATTAATTCCTATATTTTTTTTTTTATTTTGAGTTTGTTAGCATCATGCTTTTTTATCCTTTTTTTTTTAATAATACATTTAATGATTAATTTTAATACAAACATTGAATCAACATTTCCTAAAATCAATTCCACAATATATCCAGATATTACGAATATTTCAACTGATTTTTATGATGCGGTAATAACTATCGGATGGTAGATTATCAATATTTCAAATAATTGATCAAAGAAAAATTTACGACAATCAACTTCTGGTATGGAATGTAGACTAGATAACGATGATAAAAGAGTTATTGTAAATATACTTAATAGTACTTTTAGTAAGTCAGAGGGAAATTATTTTATTAAAAAATAGAATTTATGGAGAATCTTTATTAGGTAGAAGAGATTTGGAAATTCGTAACTGAGGATAAAAATATTTTTATACTATTACTCGTTCACAGCTGGCTTACTTCGATTTTACAATGTACAAATACATTACATTTCAACTAAAGGTAAATTCTTATCCAAGCATAGGGCAAAGTTAACAACAATTCTTCTCCAAAAAAAGTGTCCACGTGTGTTGGATTGGTCATCCTATTCTCCTGACCTTAACCCCATAGAAAATCTATGGGCAATAATAAAGAAAAAGGTAGAAAAGAGGGCAAATCACAAAAAAACCGGTTGGATTATATGATTTTTGTCAATTATTCAGTCAGAATGGGATAATCTTAATCCAGACCTTTTATCGAATTTATGTGCATGCATGAAAAAACGTTTAGAAGAAGTTATTGAAAGGAAGGACGTATAATTAATCATTAAAATTTAGTTTTATTAACATGTGGTATCATACTAAATGTCATTAAAGTTTTATGTAAATAAAACAAAAATTGGCCGAAAAATTCATAACTTTAAAATTATCATTATTTTCCGCCACTACTGTAATTCCAGCTGAATGTCATAATGCTCAGCCATTTCGGGACATTTTTTCGTGGTTACGCTAGGAAGTCACAAAGAAATAATGTTGAAAACTTAATTTTTAATAAATCATTATACAAATAAAACAAATATAAAAATCTTACTTTCAAATTAAAGCGTAAATAGTTATATACGCATATTTTTTTAATTGTTAACAATTTTAAAAAGTTTGATCGTGACTTATTAATGTTTTTTTTCCTACGCACAATTTGAAAACCAACTACAAAATTCAGAACAATTACAAAATTCAGTTTTAGTTTATGAGTTAAATTTTGATATTATTTATCAAAAGATCATATATTGACCTATAATTGTTGTCCTTAGAATTGATAATAATACCAACGAAAAATAATTATTTTATTAAGTTGGTAACACTCACTTCGATTTACGATTATTATTTTGTGTAAGAAATTTATGTTATTATGAAAGGCGAAAAGAAGTGACAGGGACGGTTAACTTTATAGACTCATCTTGGCGTACCCTATATATAATGACGTCATCATCTAAAAATCTACTATAATAGTACTATGGGTAATGGGTTTAGTTTATTGACTAGTTTATTGACGCGTTTTTTTAAAGCTTTTACAGTATCTCTATTTGTATAGGCGCACAAAGTATTGCGGCTAAAAATTACGTCACATAAAATGACTAATAATGAATTGGTGACTCTGTGTAACTTTTTTTTCGCGTAAATAGATTTTTTATATACCCCCAACTTTCGCCTTCTTTTTCCACACGTTCGTATCCTTATCCTCTTTCACTAGGAAGTCTCTGTGTACAAGAAAACTTCGTTCGATTATATTTATGCAACTCCTCCTTACTTACTCCTTTATTACCTATCTTCCTCCTATACCTATTTCGATCCTTCTTGTTATAGGAATTACTAGATTCCGCTAATGTAGCTTCCGGTTAAAGAAAAAAGAAAACATGAAAGAGAAGACAAGGAAAGTGAAATGTTAAAGAAAAGAGAAGACAATAAGGGAAGACATAAAAGAGACGACATGAAAGAGAAGACATGAAAGAAAAGACATGTCTGAGTGCAAAGTGGCTTATGAGACTTTAAAAAAGGTGTGTTTTTTTTTATTTTGCAAAGTGAGTAAACTCCTAAGCAAAGTAAAGAACGGATAACTCATTGAGTCGGGGAGTTCCTATGTTTGTCTTAGGAGATTACTGGAATTGTTTGCCTGGGTTGGTGAAGAGTGAATTAAATTTTTATTTTTCAAAGTGGGTAACTCCTAAGCAAAGTAAAGAACGGATAACTCATTGAGTCGGGGAGTTCCTATGTTTGTCTTAGGAGAATTATCTGATTTTTTATTATTCTTTTATTTTTTTTTTATACTTTTATTTTTTTTATTCTTTTATTTTTTTTTACTTTTTTTATTCTTTTTTTTTAATTCACTTATTAACCAACTTAAGCAAATATTCTAACTTTGTTATTGGTAAAGTCTGCTGGTTCTAGAAGAGGAATTGGCTATGTCTTCTTTACCATTAAATAAAAATTTGGCACACTATTAACAATTTCTTCTTTCTTATAATAGGTAAATACTGAAATTTACAACACTTGGAAATTTTTAAAATTATACTTAATTTTATTAGAAATACAGTATGTTAATATGATTTATATAATTTTTTGTTAAAATTTTGCTAATTTACCAGTAACTCCTTTGACAAATATTCATACACATTCAATATTTCTTGCAAATTATCTAATAGTAATTAAAGATATTGAATTTAAAACTTCTAGAATTGTTTTTTTACAAATTAAGTCTTGAATTAAAAAATAAATGGTCGTATCTAATAGTTTTTTACCTTCATAAAAATTCACCTAATTTTAAAATTAACAATAATAAAATTTTTTTACTTTAAATTTCTTTAAAATATAGTATAAACAAAAATAAAATAAAATCATGCCAAATTTTCTGAAAATTTAACCTTTACAACTTTTTATATATCAAGTTTTCTATAAATACAAGATCTATACATCCATACCATTAATATAAATGGTTGTTAAATAATTATTACAAACTGTGAGTTAACAATGTTTCAATATTTCAAAGATCCAATACAATTATAAAAATGATCAAAATAATCAGGTAGAACTCTGCTTACTTATAATAAAGGTCACCGTAAAAAATTAGCCCTTTACTAATAGTTTTTACCTTACTTTTTTCTTGAATTCTATTGGTTAATTAGTTAAAAAGAAAAAAAATCATAATAATGTAACATAAAATTTCCTTTTATAGTAGGATCTGCAAAGAATTTTATATAGGATTTTTACCTTAGGCCTGGGGGTGACCTATCTTATAAGTAAGCAGAGTCCTAATCAGGTATTGGTAAAATATTACGCAAATAAAATATGCATTTTGACTTAAAGCTTAAAATTTTAAAGTTCTTATTAGGCGGAGAATATAAACTTTTAGTGAATTTTATTAAAGTCAATATTATTAAATTTCAATAAAGTACCTATATACTGTAGTATAATTTTACTAACAAATAATATTTTGTACTTTCTGACTTTTTGAATACTTTATTGTTTTAACCTAAATATAAATAAATTTTGTTAATCGCTGCTATGTAATTGTAATACGTTTTAAAAAGCATCTTTTTTTTTAAAAAAAAAAAAATCTTTTTTATTCTATCTAGACATAAAATTGAAGTCACATTTCTTAATCCAATATAGAAGAATTTATACTTACTGATAATATAATTGAACAAATAAAAGATTTTGACCATAAGAATTTAACTGAAGAATAAAGTTTGTTAATTGATAAGAGGCATGCCAGAAATCAGCTGATTTGAAAGGGGGTGGGGGGAGTCAAACTTCAGATCAGGTATATATATATCACATGACATTTATATATTTAAATATAAATATAAGTAATTTAATTATTTTTATATAATTATTATAATGCAATTATCTTGACTTCTAGTAATCCAATTTTAATAAACTTTTTTTTAATTTATAGCTCTCATTTAGCTCTACAAATCTAGCTTTACAAAACAAAAAAAAGTTTATTCAAATTGAATTACTAGAAGCCAAGATATTTGTATTTACATTATAATAATTATTATAATGTAATTATCTTGACTTCTAGTGATCTAATTTTAATAAACTTTTTTTTAATTTATAGCTCTCATTTAGTTCTATTAATCTAGCATTACAAAACAAAAAAAAGTTTGTTCAAATTGAATCACTAGAAGCCAAGATAATTATATAATACTAATTATTATATATAATCATATTTAATATTTAATAGTAATAATTTTTTTAGCCAATCAGATTCCAACCAGGTAGGGGTGGGGTTAGGGCTACTAATTGAGAGAAATCAGCTGATTTTTGACATGCCCCTAAGTTAATATTAAATAAAGAATTAAAAAAACTTTACTAAAAATGGCCAATTTTTTGAAATATTTTTATAGACTTAGATACAATGGCTTTCAAAACAATTGTGCAATTATTTTGTAAAATTTTTAAAATATATCAAGATATATTTAAGGTATTTTTGAGATTAAAATATTAAAATAATATCAAAGTTAATTATATTATAATAATAAAATAATAACAAAAATATTAAAAAATTATTGTGATATTATTTTGAGTTATTTTTATAGACTTAGATACAATATAATTACAAAATAATATCAAAAATATAATAAAAACATTTTGATGTATTAAATGTATTTTTGTAGTATTTTAAAATTATTACAAAATCATTTCAAAAAATTGGCCATTTTTAGTAAAGAACATTATAAGTATTAAGTTTATGCAAAGAATTTAAGCAATCTAATATTTCTAATTATTGGTGTTGATGTAAATTTCAATAAAATTTCAAAAATTGGACTAGTGGAAATCATAAAGTTGATAAGTTTATTCAAAAAATATGACTTAAAGCTACATATCATTCAGAAATTTTAGAATGGATTGAATCTGATAGATTTGAAAATATTGAATACTTGATAAAAGGAGGATTTGGAACTATTTATAAAGCAATTTGGAAAGATGAATGGATAAAAAGTTGGGATTATGAAAATAATAAATGGATAAGAAGTAAATATTATTATAGTGAATATGAGAATTTTCCAGTTGTTTTAAAATGTTTACATAATTCTCAAAATATTACATCCGATTTTTTAAGAGAAGTATATTACTTATTTTGTATATAATTTTAAGATCATATTGTCCTATTATAAGGGGCGTGCCAGAAATCAGCTGATTTGAAAGGGGGTGGGGGGAGTCAAACTTCAGATCAGGTCTATATATATCACGTGACATTTATATATCTAAATATAAATATAAGTAATTTAATCATTTTATATATAATTACTATAATGCAATTATCTTGACTTCTAGTGATTTAATTTTAATAAACTTTTTTTAATTTATAGCTCTCATTTTAGCTCTACAAATCTAGCTTTACAAAACAAAAAAAAGTTTGTTTAAATTAAATTACTAGAAGCCAAGATAATTGTATTTATAATTTATATTATAATAATAGTAATTATTATAATGCAAGTATTTTAACTTCTAGTGATCCAATTTTAATAACCTTTTTTTTAATTTATAGCATTCATTTAGCTTTAAAATTCTAGCTTTACAAAGCAAAAAAAAGTTTGTTCAAATTGAATTACTAGAAACCAAAATAATTATATAATACTAATTATTATATATAATATTTAATTCGTGATCTGTCAGTGAACCATAAAATTTGACTATTAAAAGGCGGTGATAAGTTCATATATATTTTTATCAATAATTTAGAATTTGCGATTCTGGAAAAAAAATATGGGATACTCGCCTTCTATTGGTCATAGAGATATAAAATCATTACCATTAAATACGTCCCGATGAGACGGATCTGATGAACCAAATTTTATTTTCTTACGACCACTAGATGATGAGTTATCTTTAAAATTTTAAAATACTAAATTTTTCTTTTTTTCAAATTCAAATTTTCAGCTCTTATAAAAGTGTCTTTTGGTGCTTAAAATTTTTACCGGTCTTTTATTATTAAGATAGCCAAATGCATATTTTTATGCCTATAATATTAGTTTTCATATAATATTTTAGTAATTTGTACTTTGCATTGGCAGAACTGTAGATTCCGTGCTATTAGTAAATATATATATAACTTTTACCGGAATTTAATAGCCAAGTTTTATGGTTTACTAGCAGATTACGAATTAATATTTAATAGTAATAATTTTTTTAACCAATCAGATTTCAATCAGGTGAGGGTGGTGGTTAAAGCTACTAATTAAGAGAAATTAGCTAATTTCTGGTATGCCCCTAAATGTTAAATTATCTATTAATAATTATTATTATAGATTCTTTTTTTTTAGATTGAAATCCATAAAATGTTATTTTCAGAATATGTAGATAATATATTATAGTATTATGGTATTACTAAAGATCCAGAATCTAGAAATTTTATGATAGTAATGGGATATACAATAGATAGGATCCCGGATATCTCTTATAGAACTCACAACTGACTTTTTGCCAAAAAAGACCCAATTTGGGAATTTGCTCTTTTTTTATTTTCCGTTTTTTGCGATTATCTTGGTGTCCAGTGATCTGATTCATGCAGATTTTTTTTATTTTGTAGAGCTCGATAAGAGCTACAAAACCAAAAAAGGTTTGTATAAATTGGACCACTGAATGTCGAAATAATTGCAAAAAACTGATTTTTTTTTTGTGTAATTTAGGTCAATCTGCGAAAAAGTTGCCACTGAGTTGTATATGTAATGTTCGGGATTCTCAATAGATGGTAGTTTAAGACAACATTTAAATAATAGTTTTAATTCAACAAAATAGGAAAAAAAGTTGAAGATTTTACGAAATATTGTATAAGACCTTACTTGTATTCATTAAGAAAGATTAATCATCGTGATATTCATTGTAGTAATATATTAAAATTTAAAAGGCAGCAGACTTACTTTAATTACTGATTTAGGATTATATTAACCAGTAAATGTAAAACCATTCCAAGATGAATGTAAAGAACTATATGAAGTATTACTCTATGTAGCATTAGAATTCAGAAGTTTTAAGAGGAAAAGGATACATTCAAGACAATGATATTTATGGATTTGGAATTATTGCATAATGAAGTCTGTACAGGGCTTTCTCCTTATCATGATATTACTCATAATAAATTCTTAGCTATTAGCATTTGTCAAGAACTTAGGCCAAAATCAAATTATAAAATTTCCAATTAATTTTAAACATAATTAGTAAACAATGTTGGATCCTTTAAAATGACTTAAAGCTAATGAATTATATGATTTATTACAGGCTTATATTCTTCAAGTACATATAATAGTGATTATAAAATCAGTAAACAAATTGAAAAAGCAGATAAAATTAATGAGAAGTTAACTTTTTCTTCATTATTATATACTGAACCTACTCTTTCGTATACTACATATCCTCAAGCATTTTACGCAAGTAGGCTTTTAGATTTTAAAAATCTTTCAGAGCCAAAAAATGCTATTATTAACAAGGATGATTTAGAGAATATTCAGGTAATTAATTTCCTAATTTGCTTTACAAAAGCATTTTTTTGTATATAATTTTTTTTTTATTATAGAATCAATAGAAGCAATAAATTTTACTAAACTAGGCCTAGGTATTTATATTTATTAACCTTTTATATGATTTATTTTATTAATATTATTTAATAATTTATTTTTCACTTATAGATAAAAGCAGCTGAATAAAGAAAGGAAGGGTATAAATTTCTTTAATCATAATTATTAAATAAAGTATAAATTATATGAAAAATAAATAGAATGAATTGTATGTAATATGTTATAAAATTGCAACAAAATAAAAAATTACATTGTATTTTATGCTAATCTTTAAATATTGTAAAGTTATCCAACTCAAAGGGAGGTCAAAACCCCATTATGATCTGGTCCAGATTTTTAGTTCGGTCAGAAAAAATCTAAATCTAAATCATTAGAAAATGATATAATGAAACGTTGTGAGTATATTAATGTTAATTTCCATTGATTTTGTTAATGAAACAATTATCAAATAAATTTATGGTTAAAAATTGATTTTTTCCAATTAGAAAACAACTTTTAAATATAATGGAATATTTATAAGTGGCTTTTTGTATTATACTGTATATTGGATAAAAAAATAAAAAATAATTACTTTTGCTACATGTGAGTTAAATACATTAAATATAAATTTTAATAAAAGAGTAAAGTGTATGTAACCTTACATAATATTTATGAAATTTGATGGTTTCTCATTACAAGTATAATTTACACCACGTATAATTTGCCTTTTTTAACTATATATTAATCTTCAAAGCTATGTTAATACTACAAATCATCAATATACGGAAAAACAAAGTGACAGCATCGTGGAATCTTCAAGTAAAGAAGAGTGGATGTGATTAATAAACATAGGAGTGGAGTTGAGGAAGTAGTAGTTCCATTAACGGTAATGAGTAAGAAATTACAAAAAGACAACATTACCACAGATGAAGTCATGAAAAGCATTAACGACCACAGAAAGGTACAACGAAAAGAAATCAAGAAAGTTCCTTATAAGAAGTTCGAATCACCACCATTGTCTTCTCCATTAAATCAAAGGAAGGCTATTGTGGATTCAAAGTATGAGGAACTAAGGGAGATTTTTGAAAAGTGTGGAGAAGAGATGGAGTGGGAGAAAATAGAAAGAGTTTTGAAAATATTATGCAGGCAAAAGAAATTTATAACCTCTTCAATTTAAGAGTCATTCAGGCGGCGGAGTCACATGATGTGATACAAAGATATATAATGACTTTACAAAGCGAGTTAAAGAAAAGAATTGTGAGACGGATACGAAGAATATAAATGAAAAGAGGTGACTAAAAGTCCTATGGGTAAGGAATATTCGAAAAAGTGGGGAGTAGATCGGATTTATGATAATTACTCACGATATGTATAATTAATGTCTTCTTTATTTTTTTTCCTATAAATGATTAACATTAAAAAACAATAAATACAAGTTCTTATATTCTGAACTCTTAACATTTGATTATACGCTTTTTATAGTTTCGCAGAAAAAATAGCAGATAATTGCAAGATTTCAAAGAAACAAGTATTCTCCTAGCACCCATAAATAAAAGAATTTATTTATTATTTTATTTTATTTGGCTTTTTTTATAGTAGTCTAAAATCGGCATTATGAGTATAGTATGATATTATAAAATTTCAAATCTACATTGTATAGATAAAAATAACCATACCATACATACAACGGAAGTCATATCATACTCAATATCGTTATACTGATAAGTAAACTGTTGAACATGGACTATTTGGTGGTATGTCCAATTTTCCATACAATAATTAATTGTTATATTAAATCTCCATTATATCAACATTCTTTCATAATGATCTTAAAAAAAAGTATTCAAATCCATCGTTTTTCGTCTTCATACTTTTTATAGACGTTCTTAGAAAAATCATATGGATGCTTGGGATCATATTCATCCGACGGAGAGTAATTAACTAAAAATAAATTATTATGATTTTTAAATAAAGGACCAATTATTTTAAACATGATCATAAGACTTACTATGTTTTTGCAGCTCCTCTAAGCCCTCGAAAAATATAGAATTTTGAAACAGATGTACTGCAGCAGCGCAAGGTAGGATTAATGTCAAACTTGTAAGGAAAAGGGCCATACCTATTTGAACATATTTAAATTTTAAAATTTGAATAAAAGCACTAATAAAAAATGATCCATTGACCCATTGACTGAAAGTATACAAACCAAGCAACAAAATTAGATAGAAAATTTTTGGTTGAATAACTTTGGCAAGTGTATAATAGTTATAAATTCTACAAAAACAGTATAATATTTGTAATATGCTAACGAAATAGTGAAGGAATAGGCATATTTTCGATGCTGTTCGCGACTTTTTAAGTGTAAAAATTAGATTGATATAACACATAAAAAGAATAATATATGTATGTATTTAGTCTACTTACTCCTTTAAGCATCGTAAATATATTTATTGTTGGTAACAGCAATGACCAAGGTATAGAATAAATAAGCAACCATTCATCCACATGATAAATTTCAAAAGCCCACCAAAAACACCATTCAATGATAAGGAGATCACAAATCAACAGATTAAGGTGGCTACAAAGCAATATCATCCTATAGTATTTATGTCCAACTATAAAGAAGCGCAAAATTTGAATTTAATATATAGTGTCACGTGTTAAGACAAAATGAAAAGTTTGGCTTACGTATTAATTTATCATTCCCTTTGTTAGCTACGAGAATATATTTATTAAATTTTTTTCTGTAAACTTTAAAATGATCGAGAAATGTTTCCTTTTCTTCTCTATCGCTCTTTTCTACTATGCTAATGAAAATTTCGCGGTCTTTACTATCTCCATTGAGTCCATTGTCAATTTCGCGGTCTTTACAATCTCCATTGATTCTAATGCGTATTTTAATGTCTATGTGTCGCTCTGTTATACCATCAAAGTATAAATAAAGTATAATTAAAGAAACTACAATATCAATTATAACAATGCCAAAGAAAAATGGTCTAAAGTCGAAGTTCAAACTCGGTAGAATGTTCCATTGATTCTTAAGGATATTGGGGTGAAAGTATTTTCTGACGAAATGATAAAGTAAAATATATGCAGAAAATTTAGAGGAATTGCTGACAAGAAATAAAAGGAAAATGTGGTAGGATTCGAACACCATCTAAAAAAAAATAGAAAAAATAATAAGGATTTAATCAAAATAATCCAATTTGATAGTTAAGATCATTAAAAATACTTACAGCCATCCTTGCAGACATATTAACAATTATAAAAATTATGATAGCATCAATTGTAAATAAAACCACTCCTTCATGTGTCATAATTACAAGTAATGCGAAAGCAGCCAAAAATAAAGCGAACTCAAAAAAAACATAACCTATACTTAAATAAACGCGATATTCTTCGAAAATTTTTTTTAGAAAGTTTGAATCTTTCACGTCTTTATCCATATTAATATCACGAAACTAATTAAGAAATTAAAAATAAATGTTTTGAAAAACGCCCAATCCGTATTAAAATAATATATTTATAGTGGCTTAGCTGGTCAAAAAACTGTGAGGCGGCTTCTATAAGTGAATGAAAGCTGTGCAAAGTTGACGGGACAACAACTTAATTTCTTTTTTTTTTTTTGTTTGAGAAACGTTATACTAACATTTCTATCCCTTTTTTTTTGTAGGCTAAGTGTTTCGGCCTTGTGAAATTCGAAATGGCAAAAATGGCGAATTTCGAAACGGTAAGTTTCGAGACGTTTTGTTTTGTTGCAAAACTAAAAAAAAAAATTTTTTTTTTCTTTGAGAAACATTATACTAACATTTCTCTTTTTTTTTGTAGATTCGTTTCGGCAACAAATTGGTTCGAATTGAAAACAAGAAGTGGAAGAACTCCTTATAAAATTTTATCTAAATTCCGTGAAAATGAGCCTTTCATGAAAGAAACATGGAATATAAAACACGGATCAACTTTTTTTGTAGACTTAGATAGCCAAGAAATTTTGGTTAAACCGGTTGTGGTATCCAAATTAATTTTTTGCAAAAATAATTTGGGTAACACATGATTTAAACCGGTTTTCAAAATGAAACCTCTTTCCAATAGAGAATGAATGATTTGACCGCATAATCAAAGCCAAAATATTCTTTTTGATCAGAGTTTTAAAATTCCAATAAGATGCATATAATTCTGAATGGGTAAAAAATGCAAGAACATTTTAATTTTTGTCTAACAAGGAAGTTGCAATAGAATCTGTTGAATCTGAACTGCAAAACAGGCCAATATACGCAAGCAAGCTACTTTAAATAACTTACACATCTTTTTACAAAACAAGACCAGGAAGAGTTAAAAATTATCATTAGCTCGTGCATTTTGCAGTGGTAACAATAGCAAATCTAAACAATAAATGATGAAAATTATTGAAATATGTTTTCTCTTATGATTTAGAAATTGCGCGATTGTCAATAGTTATATAAAGAATCATTTCAGGTATTGAGTCTAATAGTATATTCGATATAACGGATATTCAGTTTACCGGAACTAGCCTAGGACCCGAGCTATACATAAAAAGGTCAGGGCAGGTTATTTGGTTATTTGCGTAGAATAAATGTTAAATATTTGAGCCCAAAATCATGTAGATCATGTCCTATTTGGATAAAGCCGACCAGAATTACATAGTGCCGGCCCTGAAGAGCTAATAGTAAAATTTTTTTAACTGCACCTGGCCTCTATATATATAGCTCGGGTCTTACTAGCCTTAAACTGGAACTTGCCAATAATAGCAATAAAATTACAACGAGCAAATAAGATCGATGCAATAAATATTAATTTCGGGCGGAACTATAAAATCTTAATTCTGGGTAAAATTTACAGATATAATTATTAACTTAAAATAAAAATGGAAAGTTTAAACAGAATAGATTAGTTATTATATTTTTTGTAAATTTCGATATAATGGATTTTCATATGATTTTATATGAATTCCGTTATATCGAAAATATTCGCTATATAACCGGGAAGTAACAGATATTGAATGATGGTATATACACTGGTTACCTCATACCGTCGAAGAGGCTTGTTAAATATACCACTTGTCTTCTTTTGGTATCACAAGGTATAGATGTTTGGAGGAAATGAATACGATAGTCCTCAACACAAAAGCGGTTGGTAGTTGCACTTTAAGGTGTTAGACCGTGAGCTACTCTGAGGTTGGGTTCAATTCCCAATCGACTTTGGCGTTATGGCATGCAGTCTTATTTCAAGTTGACCTGAGCTATAGGAATAATAGGATGCTCCTGTTTAAGTACTTGTCCTGGTAACAAATTATTGGGTAATTAACGAACTGTAATGGTGGCTGTGGGGACCAGCGACCCATGCAATCTAAGTGGTGGCTTAAATATTATTGCGAGAGGTTGGTTTAGTTATAGAGCTGCGACCCGTTACCCGAAAACCTGGTACCGGGTCATGGAATAGTGGAAGATCAAGTTGATTTGAGAATATTACAGATTTTTATATAAATTAACACCTAGAGTATCAACTAAACTGTTTCTTTTTCTCTTTATTATAAGTCATATTCAATTTGACAAGATGTTTGGTTTTCCAAGAGAACCATTTCTTTTCAGAATAATTAGAGGGATATTCCTAGTGGCGTTCGCCACTGCGTTTATATTTTATACCATAAATATTTTCTATAAACAACGAAAAAATTTTGATCAATCAAACTTAACCATTTCCACTTACGAAACTATTAGTGACATTCCAGGTATATGACATATATATACTTCTCAAATTTAATTCATTATTTATATTTACAGTATTAATTAATATTATTACCAGATTTTTCATTATGCTACACAGGTATCGTTTTTTTAATTTAAAGTTACAAAATGCCCAAATAAATCTACTAATACACATAAATCTAAATAGATCCAATGCAATTTCCTCCCATTGCCTCAAATAATATCACCACTGATTTTAATATCAATACTGATATTACTTGCAGGATAAGAAATGAAAAATGTGATGCGACTGATGCGTGTTTGTGTGAAGATTATTTTGGCCGGATATCTAATGAAAGCTGGACAGATAATTGTTGGACTTTTTCACCATTTAAATCATTCGATCCTACTAAACGAAATGAAAAAAAAGAAATATCTTACCTTGATAGTGTAAATGGGTCAATTATTTTAACTATTGCGAACAGATTACCCCCTACTGGTAATTATTTTGCAATCAAGTTTAATTATGCCTTCACAAATGACTCGACTCTACAATATATGACTCCCAATCTGTACCCATTCAACCGAGGAAATTTAATTTTAATTGAGTTTGGTATTAAAATAAGAAAGCGCTATGACAATCTTTTCTCGAAAGCATATGGGTTTAAATCTAAACTCATAAATGCAACTGCTAATGTTGTAATCAGGGAACTCCAACAACAAGCAGAAAATTCTACCATTTTAATAATTAAACCAAAGGATAATTTAGTATACACTGAGGAAGAAACTTTTCAATATACTAGTAAATATATTTGTTATTTATTAACTTTTTAATTCATCCATTTATTTACGTGATAAAATCATTTTCTCTTATAGTTGGTTATATTATTTCAAGTTTGGGTGGTTTCTATAGTGCAATATACGGAATTTATGTTTTATTTTTTGGGCCTGGAAAACAATCTCCTTGGTAAGATTAATCAAGCCAACATATATATATCACAAACCGTATGATTCATTGTTCTGTTACTTTAATTATAGGGGCCTCACACAAAAATATATGTGTTGCTGGGATATTCGCCGAGAGTATGAAAGAAAACTGGCTAAACGATATGTTTCTGAAGCCAATATTCCTTTGGTTGATCCTTTTCCCTATAAAGACACAGACGAAAACAGACTAGGAACAATTACAAAAGATAGAATTGAGAGACTAGAAACTATGTTGGAAGAATGTTATCTTGATGCAAGTTATTTTAAAACATTAAAAGGTGTGGTTAAAGCAAATGAAGCTTATAAAAAAGAATATGGACTGAAATAAAATAGATTATTTTTGACTTGTTAGTTGTTAACGCTTACATAATTTATATAAGTATGATTTTAATACAACATCTGAAAATAAAATTCCAACGTAAATTTCCCAAGAAAATGAAAAATGCACATTATTTCTGATATGTACTTAAAATTGCTTGTTTCCTGTGTTAAATAGATCAGTTAATCTGCTTTAACCTGTTTTGTCATTTCTTGATTTTCATTTATTACATAATATGACTCCATGAGCGAATTCTAACAATTGAGATACGCTCTGTGTATCTAGCTACATTAACGTATAGAATACTTAGGTCATCATATTATGTATTTCTCATTATTACTAAATATGGTATAATTTAACTTATAAACATTTACCTAATTTTTACATTCAAACCACACCCTTAAACCGACAGTATAATTCTATATATATGCATATTCTAGAACTCGGAAAATTACATATAATAATATAACATAATTTGCCTTGCCCTACAACTTGAAGTGCAAAAGAAGTTTTAATAACCATTACTTACAGTATAAGCAAATGTTTATATATACTGTATCGAATTCCATTTATTAACCTATGAATTTTTATAAATTGTTTTTTCCAATAGTTATCCTAAAGTCATATTTTCAGAGTGCGAAAATCAAAAATCATGTTTTTGGTCAAATTTAATTTTTTCGATCAAACTGAATTTATAAGAATTTGATTTATTATTTATTTACTTACAAAAACCAATATTTCATAAAATCATTTAAAATTTAAATACTTGCCTTTTAAACTTAAGTAACTTTTTCTTATAAAAAATCCCAAAATTATTTTTATTTAAGAATTATAAGTTATTTATTTTTTTAATAGTAATGGTTTTGGTTAAACATTAACTTTTTCACTGCAAAAGAATTATTTTTATGTCTATAATTTTGAAATAACAAAAATAAATGATGTCTTTACGGTTATCTTTATGTATGAAATAGTTTCAACAGTCACGTAATTGATATTTTCTCTTTATTCCACGGATAGCATGCATATTCTGCACAAATCTGAGTTATGTAAAGAGAAAAATGATGAAAAATGATGAAAAACAATATAATGTAATGTCATTAGTATTTTCGGAGGGTTAACAACAAAAAATAGAGATGTAACATGATGACAAAATACATCCGTAAAATAAATCTACAGAATGCTTATGACCTGTATCCTAAACAAAATAACCCATCACCGGGGACAGTGGTGGCAGAAGTGGTAACGAACCAAAATATTACACCTTGAACGTCGAAGTCATCACTTCAGATCCTTTGGGTCGAATATCATATAACTTAATTCTGGTGTTGCGAAAGTGTAATTCTGGCCAGATAAGCATAATTTCGGCTTAATTTATAGTAAAAAAATTTTAAAACGCGGGTGTACAGTGGGAGTGTATGATATTAACGTACAAACTGGCCCGAATTTAGGAGTTATGCATTTGCACGTGATAGCATTAGCATTAACCCCGGCCAGTTTGTACATTAATATCATACACCCTACTGTACATTAAGGAATCTCATCATTCCATTTCAAAGTTTTCTCTTTTTATTCATTGTATATTGCATTGAAGGACTTCTTTTCTTTTTGAGACTTGTTCTATCTTCATCTGTGTATTTCTTAATACATTGCTTAACACACTATCTGCAAGTTTTTGGGTCATTACTTTTTTCTTTTCTCTTTTGTTTTTCAATTTATATTTTATGCTTAGTTTTACTAATATTTCCATTTAGATCAGTAAATGTTGGCACCTTAGTACTACAATCTTCACATGTACCCATTGCTAAATAGTGGTTTTCTCTAATTTCTTCCATTTCTTATTATCATCAAATAGATCTATTTCAGTAACTTTCTTGCATTTAGAACAACTTTACAGAAACTTAACATTTTTAATCAATATAAAATTGATATCATTAAGTTTATCTTAATGGTATTGTTTTGACATTATTTTGATTCAATATCAATTTAATATCGATATGATATCAAATAAAGTATTATCATTTTGATATCATATTAATATTGAATTGATATTAAATTAATATCAAAATGATATCAAAAAAATAATTGAAATGACATCAAATAACATCTTTAAGTTAAACTTAAATATATTGTTTTGATATCATTTCAATTATCATTTTGATACTATTCGATATTATTTTGATATTGAAATAATAATATTTTATTTCGATATCATATTGATATTAAATCGATATTGAATCAATATCAAAATAATATTAAAATAATATCATTTGAAAACTTGAAGTTTCTGTAAAAAATATGGCATTTTTTTGCTAGTTTTAAACATATAAGTAGTTAATAATACAAATTTTAGGTAATTATTATGACTGTCTGATTATTATAAGTTATTTTTACTCTTAAAAATACCATATGAATCATTAAAAAATAAGAAATATGCAAATTTACATGTTAAACTTAAAAAGAAAAAAATTAATTCAAAAAGAATTAATTGCTAAACAATAAGAACTATATCTATTTTCTGATTTAATAATAAAGAAATAAATAACTTTGCACATACAGTCAACTTTTGTTATAACGAATTCTAGATTCCAGACCTCAACTTCCACACGTCAAATGACCAAAAACAGGCAAAAAAAATGGCTAGAATTGCATAAACTATTCGCAAATTTATATAAACTATTTACAAATAGTATAGGTTAATTCGCAAATAGCCAAAAATAGCCAAAATTAGCCAAAATTAGCCACTGCTTTTCGCGCTATTTTTTTTACCAATTTTTAGCATTTCGACCTGTGTTCGCTATAGGGCTATAGTGAAGATTTTAAGAGATTTGATTGGTTAATTCATTATAGCAAGGGGAAATTTATTATAGTTGTCTAAAAAATTCACTATATCAAGGGTTCGCTATATCAAGGTTTGACTGTATACTATATGTATTAAAATTTAGCACCTTATATAATTAATACTTTATTTCAAAGAAGTTAATGTTTAAATTAAAATTGCATTAAACACCTATGGGTTTTAAAACTTAGAAAAATAATATTAAAAGATAATGGACTCTTTGATTCTAATTTGCAATCATTAATTTTGTGAAAGTTTGGTAAAACTAGTAATAATCAACAAGTATTAAATATTGTAATGTTGATTCCCTTTACTTTATACAAAAATAATTTGGATGAACATAATGATGAGCATATAAATTATAATGAAGATTATTCTAAAAATTTGTCTAATGAAGATATAAAGAATGAAAAATGTAATAATTTTAAAATATTTAAATATTATTTAAAATATTTTGCTATATAGTTAATATTAAACTATTTAAATATTTATAGATTTGTCTAAATTACAAAAAACTGAATTACCTATAATTAAAAAACTCAAGATATTCAAAAAACTCCATTACAAGAAATTTGGGTTTCACCATTTTAAAAAACTCCAGTACAAGGAATTTAAGTTTTACAATTTAAGAAACTTTAGATCAAGTTCTTGCAATTCAAAAAATTAGAAGCTCAAGTCAAATATTAAAAAGTTATAAATCTATAATAGTATCTTTTAAGCCATTTTGTTATTCTGATTTTCCAATAATTGCTTATTACAAAAAAAAAAACTATTATCTATCATCAATAAAGCTAATAAATTAAAACTAATATTATTATTAAACTTCTTACAAAATTATAATCTAAATATTAATTTAAAATTTAATCTATAATCAATTTTGAGATTAATGAAAATTTGTGTATTTTAATTATAAAAGTAATAAAAATTTATGTATTTTAAATATAAAGTAATAAAAATGTATATATTACATGATATTGAATAATATATACAAAAAATATTTAGTACTTACGAGTAGTATTATACATTTTTGATGTCTGCAGCTTTTTTTGGTTATCCCAAACATGTCTACACTCCATTTGTACTCTTTTGTAACTTAAAATTCCCTACAAAAATTATATTTATTTATGCATAATTGGATGCTAAATATTTTTGCTAAGTATTGAACAATGTTATCATAGAAAAATTTTGAGGGGTTATCATTTCTTTTTTATGTAACATGTCCTGGACATTGTCCCATGACAACACTGCTTACGGGACCCTGTCTACTATAAAATAGATTACTTTGTAGTCTAAAGTAAGGTTTATATATAAAACTCTTTAAAAATTCTATTATAAAAAGAAATTTTATGTTATATTTAAGGTTGCTTGCCGAAACTGTCAAAACTGCCGAAACTAAGTTTCGGTAAGCAACCAAAAATGCCGAAACGCTGAAACTACTGAAACTGCCAAAATGCCAAAACAGTTTTGGCATTTCGGCATGGTTTCGGCATTATAAACATTAATATTCAAATATAGTTTTGGCATTATTTCATTTTTTTCTAATAGTGTAATGAACTAACGATATAAAATCCAAGCTACCACATGATCACAAGTCTACAGCCAATCATATTTGAACACATCAAATCAATATCAAAGATAATCATAAAGGTTACTTTCGTCCCTTTTTTTATCTGTCTTTAAGACTTTAACTCCCAACCGTTGTATCTTTAGAAAACTATATACCCTGTAATCCACTCAAGTCATATGATATTATCCGTCATGTTTTATAAATATTTTCATGTTCATTTCGCATTACTTTCTTTATTTAAATACATATAAAAATAAACACATTTCAATATGACCAGCACTTTAGACTTAGGAAAAATTAAAAACAAAGGAGGAAGGCCACCCAGTTCCATTTGGGATTACATTACTAGAGGAAATCACGTTGGTTCAGGAAAATATCATGCCACCTGTAAATATTGTAATTTTTCCTTTTCGCGAGTCGATGTCACAAAACTTGAGGAGCACCTTGCAAATCATTGTTCAGAAGCTCCAGCGCTCACTGTCAGAAAATATTTGACCAAAGTATTAGAACGTGAAGACAAAATCAATAAAAAAAGAAAGATTGTAGGAAACAATCAATTAACTATGACGGACTATCATGATTCCACAAAGATTCCTGATGCTAGAA